GTTTTTTAAACTTTTACGGAACGACTATGACCTGGATGACTGAGAATCTTCATCAGCATACCCAGTATTGTTGTTTTTACTACCCGATCATGACCTGTTTTTGTCCCTGGAATCCTGAGTTTTGGTCTGCCCCTGCTTTGGTCTCTTTCTGCCTGTCTCCTGTTTTCAGACTGCTGTTTGTACTCTGCTTGTTACCTTGGATCTTTCCCCTGACCCCGGCTTGGATTATCCCCTTGGTACCTCTACATCTCTCTGATATTCTGGTCTGGACCCCAGCTTTGTTTCCTGCTCTTGACCCTCCTGCTCTTCAGCTTCTGCTGACTGCTCCGCTCTGCTCCTGGAATTCTCCGGTTAACTCCCGCCGCATGTTGTGGAAAAGTCATCCGACTCCCTGCTCTGGACACGAACTGAACTTATAGCCAGGTTAGTGATTCACGTGCTTGTTGTAGTTCCCCGTCTGAGCCTAGTGATCACTAACCTGAGTGTCTGTCTCTGCATAGAATCCAGCAAGCCTATTCCAGCTGACGCCTCGCAAATCCAGAGGTTTTCAATAAAGCGACTTTCCTTTAAACTAACCTGTTCTGTCTCCCTGAATACTAGATCCATTGGTCTGAGCCTTGACAACAGGCTGCTGTTAGTGCGAGACTGCAGAGCTGTTTAAAACTTCTGGATAAAAGTTTAAATCTCTTCAGAAAAAGACGTGAAAGTCTGTTTTCTTCGTTCAAGCCTGTCTGCGGTTAACATGACCTGGATGACTGAGAATTTGCAGAGGCAATAGCTGAAGAAAAAAATTATAAAGTTGCTTCAATGGCCTAGTCAAAGGCCTGACCTCAACTTGACTGAAATGCTGTGGTAGTCTGAGTTGTTGCTGCTAAAATGGTTTCAAAAGCTGTGGGATCTTTATTTAAATATCTGATTGGGTTTGTTTATTCACCAAAGCTCCAAAAACTGTTTTCAGAGATGTTGTTTAGAAAGTTCTGGAGGTTTTTTTTTTTGTCAGCAGATTAAACTCCAGCTCAGACGAGGATAAGCACAACAGGTGGGCGGAGAGAGGCGCGAACAGAGGAAGACAGAAGCAGAGGGGAAGTGGTGAGGATGCTTTACAGTCGCAGCAACAGTCAGCTCTTCATTTCTCCGTAGTCAGAGTTCAGCTCACGTAACCCTGCTGTTGGTGTTTCCTCAGACCTGCCTTCCCGGCATCCTGACTCTCCAGGTAAGACTTCACCTCGTCCACTTCTTCCTCACAGACACAGCCTTCACCTCGCTCCTCTGGCTGCTGGTAGAGCTTCACCTCCTGCTGTGAGCTGAAGTGCCGCCCAGCCCATATGGCCCGTTTGCAGGTCTCCTCGCAACGGGAGCATGAGCTGAAGATATCATCACAAGAGGAAATCGACTCTACTTCCTCACTCAGAAAAAAAAAACAAAAGTAAATTTTTTTTCAACAAGCTTCAAAAGAAGCACCTTCTGTCATTTACATACATGCAAAGGAGAGGTGGCGTGCAGACTTCAGTATTTGCTTTCCTTCACCTGAGCCATGAAAGTTAAACACAGACCTGTTTGCAGTTTACACCCAGTTCTAAGAGAGGCAGCTTAGCCCTGATGGAGATCCACATGAGAGCAACGCTCCGTAGCTTTTAGGTGCTGTTGGTTTAGCATTAGGGTGTAGCTAAAGTATTTTACCAATAGGAAGTTGACTCCTTAATTCAAAGATTATTAAGTAAGGTGTTGTCTTTTTTTCTCAGAGAAAGTAAAAAAAGAATGATTGCAGTAAAATGTCAGGTTAGAACAATGAGACAGAGTTTTCTCATCAACTTAAATTTAATATCAATAAACATAGAAACCTGTTTCCAATTGATGATTTTATTTATTAATAGAACAAACCAGATTAAGTAATTTGGATCACTTCCAGTTATAATAGTAGACCTGATCAGGTCACTTAAACAGAACCAGTCTGACCATATGAAGTGGTCTAAAAGACCTAAAAAACGGCATATTGCTTTAATAAACGCAGAATTAAAAGAATAAATGGAAAACTAAATAGTTTAATTTTGTGACTCTGGTGTAACGCAATAAGAACCATTATCTTCACATCGAGAAGATCTGTGACAGCAGAGACTATCGCAGGTGGGGCCAAATTTACTCTTGAGAGCTCCTAGACGTCTCATCCAAGAGGTCAGAGAAGAACCTAGATTAACGTCTAATGTTCTGCAGCCCTGACATACTTTAGTTGAGGAAAAAGAAAGGCTCTAGAAAATGTGTATCTGTGTTAGAGTTTGAAAACCAGAACCACTGCTGACCCAAAGGAACAGAAAGACCCTTCTCCTCTATACCAAAGGTGAGACAGAAATTAAACTTTTCCAAAGGTTCTTCTCCTGCAAACACCAGCACAGCACCTTCATACAGCCAAACATAGAGGTGGTAGTATGATGGTCTGGGAGAGGATCTGAACAACAATTTAAAACACATTGATGGAGGTTGTGGTGTGGTCCAGTCAAAATCCTGACTTAAGTCTGCTTGAGATGCTGTGGCGAGACCTTAAACAGACTGTGTTCAATGATCCTCTGATGTTGCCATATTAAAACAATCAGTCTACTGGATCTTTTCTATAGTTATATAAAGACTGGACAGCTTTTTTTATTATTTGATAACTGCTCTCTGAATTTAGTTGGATTATATTTGTTTGATGTTTAAATAATGAATTATCTCAAACATTTATGTGGAAAAACAACTAAATGAAGAATGTTTTAAGGGAGAAATGCTTTTTTACGGCTTCAATTGTTGACAAATCAGAGATAAAATGTTAAGGTGATTTATGTCAAACTTGGACTCTATAACAATTATAATTAAAGCACCAGGATGTAGGTCTGGAATAACTCCATCCATCC